CAGGCGGGCTGGTGGTACCAGCTCATGCAGAGCTCTCAGATATACATCGAGGGCTCGGCTGAAGGCTCAAAGTTCATCCACTATGAGAAGAAGAAGAAGGCTTTGAATACTGTGCCCAGGTCAGCGGAGACCTGCAAGGCGCCACCCCCCCGCGAAGGGGTGGTGGAGGGTGCAGAGGCTTGCCCCATTGCTGAGGGCACCTTGGAGGAGAGGCCCAAGGCTGCCAGCAAGCCAAGTCCTCAAGCCGTGGAAGAGCCCTTGGAAAAGCCCCAGCAGGTACCGGTCAGTGAAGAGGTGAAGGAACGGAGCTGGCCCTTCTGGATGGGCAGCCCCCCAGACTCAGTGCTTACAGAGCTGAAGCGCAGCAAGGAGAAGGAGACTGGGACTCAGCAAAGAGTGGGAGCAGCAGCAGCAGCCCCCCAAGAGGAAAGCAGCACCAGTGCATCAGAGGGCAGCCAGCCCATCAAGTGGGGACACTTGTTTGGGTCCAGGAAGGTGCAAAAAGAGCCCAAGCAGCCTAACAGGTAAGGGCAGAGATGGTTTGGGGCTGGGGAGAGCTGGTTAACCTGGGGTTGCAGCAGTGCAGGTGGAAGTCAGGCCAATAGCTGACCACTGGGCTACACCACAGTGGTACACCACAGGCAGTGTGTGAACGAAGAGGTCTGTCACCCCTGCCTAGCCCTGCCAGCCTGCTGGCCTGCCTTAATTCCTCCCACACCACCGTTCCTCTCTGCTCCTACCCTTGCTCAATCCACCTCAGGGGCTTTCCTCTTCCACCTGAGTTCTACCACTGCCTCGGCTCCTAAGTCCCCTCTCCGGGGGAAGGGCCCCTGCTGCATGGCTCCCATCATCACCTCATCCCTCCCAAAAAAACATACTGAGAACACAATATGGAGCCATCCCTGTTGTGCAGAACAGGTGAGGAGGAGGCGTGAAGTTGCCCCATGTAGCTGAGACCTCCCCGCACTGCCTCTCCATCTGTACCCTTACTGCTTCTACAGCCACTGGAAATGTTCTTCCCAGTCTAGGCCGTGGTGTGTCTGGAGGATGCTGAGCCCTCCCCATCAGGGGGCAGCCTGGAGACCACAGTGCACTTTATGCATGGAGCTAGACATCTAAGGCATGACCTTGCCATGAGAGTGGCTGCTCCTTGACCCCAGGTACAATTCCCTGCCACTTACCGGCTTCTATCTCCTTCTTGCAGGTTGCCCTCTGGCTGGCTGAGCTTGGACAAGTCTGTGTTCCAGCTGGTGGCCCAGACGGTCGGGGCAAGCATGTGGCGAGAAGCAGCCCATGAGCCGGAGCCCTCCCGGCCAGAGCCATCTGAAGTGCCCCCCGCAGCACGGCCGGCCCGGGGGTTGTCTCCCCACCCTCCCTGGTGAGTGGCACCATGTGGCCGTCCTGCAGGTGCTGGGACATGGTGGGTTGGGGTTGGCACACGGCTCTGGCTGTTGCAGTTCGCCTGGCCCCCTTTGTACCTGTGGACCATGAGATGGTTCGGGGCAGTGACACAGTTTGTGCATCCATCCACCCCAACTCTGCAATCTGCAGGTGAGGGGCAGCTGGGGGCAGCTGGGAGCCTGGCTGGGTGGGGAGGCAGGGGGTGTTTTCCTTGCTCCTCTGTGCCCATGGTGGTCCCTGGGCTCCAGCGGGGTGAGTGTCCTGTGGCGAGCTAACCCTTCCTCCCCTCCCTCTGCCTGCAGTGAGGTGAAAGCTCTTTGCCATCACATTGCCACCGAGACGGGACAGCTGAGCTTCAACAAGGGGGACATCCTGCAGGTCATCTCCAAGGTGGATGGTGACTGGCTACAGTGCAGCCTCGGCTCCGAGAAGGGACTGGTGCCCATCATGTACGTCACCCACCCAGAGGACGAGGACTATTGACGTGGCTGGGAGGCCAAGTACAGTACCGTGGGCTGCTGAGGCTCCTCTGGGGAAGCCCACCCTGCCAGAGGAACAGACATAGCTTCTTGCTAGTTTCTTACCTTTCTTGCCATTACAGAATACAGTAACTGTAGGTGGTTCCTTCCTGCTCCTCCTCGTGCAGCTGCCAAAGGCCAACTTGGCCCTCGGGGTCTTCTGCGAGCTGCACCTCGTATTGCCAGGCATCGCCGTGCATGCAGCCACACCGGGGACTGCCTGAGCCCCCTCCACCCCACACCATCTCCAGCACCCGTAGGCCCTGGACTCGTACATAGCAGGAACCCAAGCAGTCCCTGCCAGGGCAGCGCTGCCCCACTGCCCGGCTCAGTTTCACTCTGGAGGGTGCAGGATGCTGGCCGTCCCCTCCCCGGGGGTGGCAGTGCAGTCTGCAGCCTTCAGCATCCCTGGCATCATCAGCCTCAGGGCTGGGAGCACCGTGCATTGGCAAGGTCTCTGCAAGGCCGGTCTGATGGGTTGCATTGCGGTTTGATGCGGGGCTGCAAGGTAGGTTTCCCCATGCTGGAGCAGCCCTGTCCTAATGTGTTATGGTGGTGCCTGGTGGGTTGTACCGGGCCAAGTGGCCTGGCACTGCCACGCTGCAGGGCTGGGGCTGTGCCTGGCCACAGCCAGGGGAGGGGGACGGGATACGTGTGTGTGTGCGGAGCAAAGGGGTGCGTGGGGTCGTGAGGAAGGCGCGTGGATGTTCAGTGTTACGTAGGTGTGGGATGGGTGGTGCCACCCTGTGCAGAGATGGGTGCTTTGGGGATTGGCCCTGTGCCCTCCACACTCAGCAGGGAGCCAGTGCCTGGGAAGCTCTGGGATGCTCAGTGGAAGGGGGTTGGAGGGGAGGGGGTGAGGGCAGGGTCCCTGCCTGGGCTAGGCGTGCTCTTTGGAGTTGGGGGCAGTGCTCCCAGCAGGTAGACTGAGGGGTGCTCCCAGAGGGAGCCGGGGAGCTAGGGAGGGAGAAGTGGTGCTCCTGTTGGGTTTCTGGTCTTGCTGAGCAGTGCCATGGGGTGGGGGGGACAAGTGTTGTGATGAGCACAAGGGGCTGCTGGGGGTCCTGGGGTCCTCAGTAGAGGCAATGCCAGTCAACCCCTTCCTTGCCATGTTCATGCCGCCCACTGGGGTGGGGATCTTCACCTGCCCATCAAGTGGGGAACAGTGTTAATGAAAAGGCCATGCCAGTATTTGGTGCCTTGGCTGGGTTGACACTGCTCGCAGCATCATGCCTGGGCTGGCTTCCCCATGGCGAGGGGCCCTGGTCTTGCAAGGTTACCTCCTGCTTGTACATTGCTTAGCAGACGTTGCACCATATTTAATTTGTATTTCCCCGTTAGAATGAGGTGTCTCGCCTTTATTTATTTCTTTATTTATGATGCATATTAATAAAAAAGGTGCTGATTGAGTTCCCTGCTACGCAGCCTTGTGATTTCAGCCTGTCCCTGGGAAGGGTCTGATGGTTACCTGTGCTGGGACACTGCACTGCAGGCTTCGTCCTGCCTCTACCACAGCCAACACCAGACTTTCAGAAGGAGATAGATTGCCCCCGGCTATCAGACCTGTCAGTTCAGGCTCAGGGGACTACATCACATCATCAGATGCTGGTATGTCTCAGGGAGGCAGTGTTGTTCGAGGTTCCTTGTCTTTATTGCTTGTCTATGCTGGCGGGGGACCAAGCAGGTTTCAGACAGGAGTTCACACCATTTCAGCCTGGCATCTGCTTCCCCAGGGGGCTCCAGGTGTTGCAGTAAGGTGTCCGTGGGTGCGGCCAAACTGGAACTTGTAACCCGCAGGCGGCGGGAGGAAGTCCTGAGCGGGGCAGGATGGAGGCGGTGAAGGACAGGTTGTGGGGCTGGGACCCAGGGCCTCGGACAACGTGGCCATGAGGCCCAGTGGCTGTGGATCACTCACAAGGAAGGGCTCCAGGGCTTTTAAATTTAGACTCGCACAAGCGTTAGACCTCCAAGTCCAGCAGGA